GATAAGGATCAAATAAAATAAAACTAACAATGTTCACTTACATGTCCTAACTAGGGTTATATTCTAATGATAAGTAGATAGAGCTCTGACCTAAGGTTGGCTTCTTATATTTTACTATATGTGATTTGGGTTAAATCTAAAGGTTTTCAAATTGTTTTGACATCATTGTTTATCATAGATTAATAAGACACTCCAATCATCATCCATTATAGGCTATAAATGAAAAAGATTCAATTTAAGTGAATATTTCACTCACTAATATAAAGATTATCATCTCACAAGAGTGTAAGTACTTTACTCTTTCTTAAGAAGGACGAAGCTCGAGTATAGCACTTATATGATGCATATGCATGTGACAAAGGTGTGAAAGAATGATAAGAAGTAAAGTAAAAGCCAACAAATAATAATTAATAATTCAAGATAAACTAAAACAAAAGTTAGGATAATTTAAAATTAATTAATGGCCTGACTCTTTATTTCCTCAACGGAGTCACCAAACTATTATAACAAATAAATTTGTAAATCTATAGCTAAACTTAACAAGAAGAGTTGCCACCAATTTTTTATCTAGGTGTGATTGGCTATCTAATGAATTAATCCTTTTAAGAAAATCCTAAGCTCAACTAAAGATCCCTAAAAGAATAAGTTCTAATTTACTAATTAGAATAGAGTTTAAGAGTTCGATTACATGTAGGGAATGTTATAGCACCCCTATAATGCCAATCCTAAGATGGTACTATTTAATCTTAAATTATCCTAAAATCTTTAGTTATAATGATCTTTTATTAAATATTAGAAATAACTTTTAAGATTCTCTATCAATTTAGTAAAATTTTTAAAAATATTTTTTTACTTCAAGAGTATTCAAAAATCTCATTTGTCTTCTTAAAAATGCTCCATTGTCGAAAAAACTTAATCACTTTTTTATTCATTTTATTGAAAATATATCTAATTCTTCCACCATTTGGGCCTAAATTAGAAAATTTTCTCAGCTAGAAATCTCTTAAATAATCATCTATTTGTGATTACTAAGAATTTCATTCTCGAATTTTTTTTTAATTTACAAATTTTATTTCTAAATTTTTTACCATTTAGATCTAATTTAGAAAAAAAACTTTTTACCTGAAAATCTCGTGAAGTTCAACAATTTGTGATTCTTCTTAAGACCTCATCTTTGGATGATTATCAAATATTTTCACTTAAATTCTTAAGTTATATTTTTAATTTTTATTGGAAAAAGAATAAAATTACTTTTATTAAAATTTCATCTAAATTATTCTACCATTTAGATCAAATTTTAAAAAAAATTTTCACCTAGAGATTTCTTAAAAAATTTACCATTTGAAATTTCTAAAAATCTTATTATTTGGTAATTGTTAATTCAATCCCAAATTTTTATTAAATTTATTTATGTTTTTATATATTTTTTAAAAGAATTAAAAATAAATATCAATTATTGATGTTGAAATTTTATATAAAATTTTCTCTATTTGGGTTAAATCTAAAAAAAAAAATTCATATAAAAAATTCTAGAAAATCACTCATTCATGATTTTTAAAATCTCATTATTGGATTTATGAAAGGTTCTAATTCCAAAATTTACTCTATTATTTAAAAAATCTCAATTTGGTTATTTCACAATATTAAACACTAATAAAAAAATAATTACACAAATATCTAATGTAAAGAAATACAAATATACATGTAACTGGATAAATAATAATATAATAGAAATGTACCTTGGGCCTTGATTTTCAACCTGCAAAGGAAAATATAGGCTGTCTAAGTATGAAACAGGCTTGTGAATCGGGTTGGATTGATAGCCCAAACAGGTTGTGGGCTAGTGGTGGCTAAATCCATTTATTTTCTTTATTTTCTTTATTCCCATTCTCTCCCAAACAAAACCCCATGACTCTAAATTCTCTTCTTCTAACAAAACCCTAAATAGAACCCCCAAAAATTGACAAACCTCTGTAGCTTCCTCTCTATTCTCATTTTTTTTGTTTTTCTTTTTCCTTCAATCTCTAATCTCTGGAAGATTTCAAGATTTACAAACCAAGCGTCAATCACTGCAAACTTTAAAACATGAACTCTTACCGATGAATCGATCATTGTTGCTACAGTTTTTCCTACCGCCAATGTTTCTTTTTCTTTTCAGCCATTTCCTTTTCATAAACTATAGTAAATTCCTTGAACATTTTGAACCCAAGATTCTTGATTTGGTTACCTTTTCGGGTTCTTATTGCTTTGTCTATTCTATTGATTGTGTCTAATTTTATTATTAATTTAATGAAGACTCAAGTTTGCTGAATTGTCTAATGACTCATGAAAACTTCTAAAGATTGAATTATTGAGTTTTTTTGAGGATATTACTATTGAATTTATAGGTTATGAGACAATGAATTTGGTGGGGTTGTGGGTAATGGCCTAGATGGTTTAATGATTGTGGATATGTTGATGAAATGGCTAAGCTTTGGTTTCATGTAATGGGTGCAAAGGTTCATGCCATGGTGATAGTGGATAATGGGTAAAAAGAATTTGCTGGGCTTCGCTAATCTTTGCTTAGTTTTTCTTTCTTTTATGTTTTTTATTCACTGGCTGTGATTGTGTTTGGGTTAGGTTTGGCCAAAATGGGTGAGTTTTGGACTATGGTGATTTGTAGGTGTTAATGTTGAAAAGCTCTTGACAGATAGTGATAGTGTTTGTGGTGGTAAAAGCTCGATAATGGCTTTGTGATTTTTCCTCTAGTCGTTGCTCATTAGTTTTTATAGGACAGTCTCCTAATTAGGATCGAATCCTAATCTTTCCTAAACTAGTCTTATCACCGAATTAAAACATTAGCATCAATAAAATCATTTTTTATTTTTTCAATTATCATCCAATCACAATTATCTTTTCTTTTTAATTCTTATTTGGAATTCCTAATCAAATAACATTCAAAAGATAAATATAAATATAAATTAATACAAATCAAAGCTAAATATAAATCATAAAAACTAATAGCAAAATAATCCAATAATAAATGAAAATCAACATATAAAGATAAAGATAAAAGCATAAAAAAATCTAACCATAAAATAAATAAGTAAAAAAAATAAAATGATAAAACTGGGCCTATATAGGTTTAGGCCCAACTGGTTTAGGCTCAATTAATATGGGCTCGAACCAAATAGAGTGTCTACAACTAGCATTGATAATGTGGCATTGATTGAACTTTTTAGACACATGTCAACATCTTATTGGATATTTTGTTGCATCAGCAAAGTTGACTAACAGCATTAGTCAGTGGTACTAATGTAATAATGATTTGAAAATTTAGGTACCAATGTGACAAAAAAAATTTTTAGGTACCAATGTGACAAAAATTACAAAGTTCACGGGCCAAATATGTATTTAACCCTTTAATAAAAATAAAAAAATGTATTTCATGTTTTTGTGTCAACATGAATAGTAACACATAATTTTCATATAAAACATAATATAAATATATGAATTTCAGTAATTTATATGACACGAATACATAAATTGTCAGATCTACTCAAACTATCGCCATACCCAATGCCTTCACTAACTCAGCCTAGCCAACTATTAGACCAAATACCACCAAAGACATAGACATAACAAGAAAGAAACCAACTAAACCTTTAATGGATCCCAAGCTCTATTGCCCCCCACCAAAACAAGCCCACCAATAACTTTACCTTTAATACCACTACTATCCATCACACTAGCCTTCACCATCCCAAGCCACCACCTATTGCCCCATCCGAAACCTAGATGCCATTAAAACCCCTAAAAAATAACCTTTACACCTACCGAATTGAGAGTCACCATACTTAGCACCCCTAAAAAAAAAAAAAAGGAAAAACAACACAAATTAGTAGCATAAGAAGAACTTGGCTAGAATTTTCTAAGTAATAGCACAATCATAAAAAGTATAAAAAACCACAACAAAAATATAACTTAGGAAAATGGATTTTGGGTTTTCATAGTTTGAAGGAGATTTTTGACTTAAAAGTTATAGAGGAAAAATAATAAGGAGAGGGGAATAAAATACTAAATTTCAGGCCATATAGAGCTACGAAAGATGGTATTTTGGGCTAAAGCCATAGTTTTTCTTGTAGATATAAAGGTTTGGGGGTTGTTTTTGAGAAAACTATATGGCTAAATAGGAAGGTGAACAAGAAAGAAATTTTTTAATGAATTTTGAAAGCAAATTGATGCAAAAAAGCAACAAATGATTTCAAATTTTTAGAATTTTTGGTGGCTGTTGGCATTTGTTTTAGAAAAGAGATCACTTTTATTTTTTTGTGAGAAAAGATTTGAGATAGACAAAGAAAGGAGAAATAAAAAAGAGGAAAAAAAAAGAAAGGAAAAAATGAAAATTCTTAAATTTCATATATTTTTATTATTTTAATTTTGTATTTTTTTAAAAAATTCATTTATTTAACATGTCTCATGCTACTTGGTATTTTTCATCAAATTAAACAGTTTCATTAATGGATGAACTATATTAATATACATTTGAGTAATTAAATATTTAATTAAATTTTTTTAAAATTTAAAAATCAAAATAGAATTAACTCATTGGTATTTAGTCCTTGTTTTATTATATTAACTGAAGATGTACTAATATGGTAAAGAGAATTCCTATTTCTAATTAATGTTTAAATTTCTTACGGATCATGTTGTATGCTATATTTCTTTTTTAACATCAATTGTCTACTTCTTTTACTTTTTTATTTCTTAATTCAATATAGAAGTAATTTTACATTAATTATCTACTTAAATCTCATTTTAATTTTATTAGAAATAGAAATTTTTTAGTAGTTGTATATTCTTAACAAAAAAGTGAAAAAAAAAGAAAAGTAGACAAGGTGGAGACGGGGGCCGAGCGAGGAAGCGACAGGAGGAAGAAAAGGTCAGCCCCAACTGCAGTGCATTTTGTATATGATAGGCTTCCCTTCGTAATTATTACTCTTACTATTTATTTATTAAATTATAAGTAGCAAGTTCTAATAATAGGATATTATTGGTGAATCTTTGGCAGTTTTGAAATGTCTTAGTTAACACCCACACTCATTCCTCCTCTCCAGTCCCCCTTTCCCCACTTCCACTCATTTCTGCATTAATTTTCATTTTCCCCATTACATAATTTTGATTTTCTTTTTTTTAAAAAATTATTATGTTAGGGTTTTGGGGCAAAAAAGATTTGCATCCATAGGCCATATTCATCGAGATTGAATTTGAGATTTTGATTATTAAGGATCAATCAGGGGAGGAGTGGGGAGGCATGGAGAACGGTCACGATGGGAAATTGGCAGAAAAGTTATCAGGATTGGCCCTCAACGAGAACAAGGACAACAACGACGACGACGATAGCTTGTTTCAGGTCATGAAAGCTGTTGAGGCTGCCGAAGCCACCATCAAACAACAGGTCTCCTTTCCACTTTTAACCTTTTCCTTCTTCTTCTGTAATAGTAATAATAAAAACATTATTTTTTTTTTCTTTTGGCATCTCTTCTCAGGCGGAAGAGAACAGTCGATTGAGGTCTGAACTCCAGAAGAAAATTGAGCAACTCAAAAAATATGTGGGAAAATTAACCTTTTCTCTTTCTTCATTTTAATCAAGCTTTATATAATGGTTATGCTTTATTTCTGCTTGAATCTGTTTATATTTCATGGAAAGCAGAAAGTGGAAAGTGGTAGTAATCCAAATGCTTGTGCAAAAGAAGCTATCAATACCAATTTAAATGGCACTTCGAATGCACTTCCTGCTGTTGCTGCTGCTTGGACTAACAGTATCGCGGGCGCTGCTCCTTCTCATTTCTCTACACTGTCAACTACCTCTTTTTCCCCCACCAGGTTCTTCTTCTTTACACTGCATTGTTCAGCTATTATATAACTTCACATTCTATGAACAGAAAACATAGGATTTTCTGATTCACTTTTTTAATATGGTAGGTATCAATTGGAAGAAGAATATGATTTTCAATTACCGCCGGTTCTCATGCGAATGCCTCAATTAAATAATTCCAATTCCCTATGGAAACAGGTTACTTCATATCCTTGGATTTTTTTTTTTTATTTTTTTTTTTTTATGTTTCTGGACTGACTATGATTTTTCTCCAGGATGTTGCCCTTAAGATTCAGGAACATGAAGAAGAGATTTTGCAGTTGCGCAAACAGCTTGCTGAATTTTCTGTCAAGGTTATGTCTTGCTTCCTCTTTACCTCTCTTTCTTCATTCAATATGTGTTAATTATGGATTTCTAATAATTCATGGTTACTCACAGGAAGCACAAATTCGCAATGATAGATATGTTCTTGAAAAGCGCATTGCCCATATGCGTCTGGTAGGAACTATTTTAGCTTTTTTTTATTTGCATAATGGCTCATTCTTTTCTTCCTTACTTGATTTCTTGTTCAGGAATGGCAATATAATTTATAAAACCTTTTATGCTTTGTTGTCACCAGGCCTTTGATCAACAACAACAGGACCTTATTGAGGCTGCATCGAAAGCTCACTCTTATAGGCAAGATATTATTGAGGAAAATATTCGTCTAACATATCAATTACAGGTATTTTCATTTCTTAGTGTTGTTTATTTTTCACCTTGAGGGTTAATGTTTTTCTTTTATTTTTTACATTGATACTTTCCTTTCAATTTCTGTTGGATTCAATGTGCCTGTATTCTATTTGGATATTAAACCATGTCGTTTCTTGTGTTAAAACTTCTGACCATTAATGCTCAAACTATTTCACATGTGAAATAATTCATTTTTCTTCACACTCCAATTCATGTTTGCAAATCTTGTCATAATGATGAACTTACGCATTTTTGGTGCTGTTTATTTTAATATTCTATGTTGTTACCATGCTGATGATTTCATCTGCTTTTAGAATTGTTTTACGTTTCAATGTTCTGTGTGTGATTCTTCTTTCAGGTGGCACAGGAAGAAAGAACAACTTTTGTGTCATCTTTGCTTCCTCTTCTGGCAGAGTATTCCCTGCAGCCACCAGTATCTGATGCTCAATCCATTGTAAGCAACATCAAGGTCAGTCTCAAAACGCTTTCCAATTGTGTCAGTGAAATTATACTCATAGAACTGTTTTACGCAAAACATATATCAACTTGCTAGAAAACTGGGATGCAGTATGCATTCCATATCAATATTGATATGTGTGTATATGCATGTCTTGGGAGTTTTGTTGGCATTGCAATCAATTAGACAAAGGGGAGATGATTTTTTCTTTTCCTACATTCTTTTTTATATTCTCCTTTCCGAAACTGCCTTTAATGTGTGTCTGTGTGTCTGTGTTTTTCATTCTTCTAATTGAAGGGATATTTTTAGTGATCATAACAATATTTTCGTTCTAAAGTTTATTAGCATTACTTGTAGAAAAGTATATAATTTACCTAGTTTCTATCTGCTTTTAATCATGATGTTTCTGAAGAGATATTGAAAAAAATGACACATGTCTTAGGTAAGTGAGAACGCAAAACAGAAGAGTGAACAATTATTTTGACTGAGTCAGAACGTATCTTTTTCCGTTCTTTAAATCTGAAGTGTGAAGTTACTACTTGACTCTTTCAGGTTCTATTTAAACATCTACTAGAGAAGCTTATTATCACTGAGGTATGCAATGTGGAAATGAAGTTGGTTTATAATAGCTAGAGACATCTTTCTTTTTCAGTTCTGATGAAATTAACCTAGGTTAATTGCAGTTTGAGATATGGAGCATCATATATCATCTTCTAAATACTTAATTATGTATATTATCTTCTTTTCCTGGCGTCAGTCAAAGCTAAAGGAGTCACAGTATCAGTTGGCACCTTGGCGGTCAGATGTCAATCATTCCAATTTTGCCCCCCAATCTCCATCTCATTCCCTTGGTGCAACGTTGACAACTTCAGTATGCTTATAATATCTTCTTTTGATCTGTACTTTTATACCATAATGATTTTCATAAATTCATATACTTTCTGTCAGAGCAAAAATGGCCTCGAATTGGTGCCACAGCCAGCATATTCCCAGGGAAAGACACAGATAATTTCTGATGCTCAAACAAACTCAAATTGGGATCTACCTGGTCAGAACCAAGGTGGCTTGGGTGGTGGTATTGCTTTGAAAAATTTGGAACCTGATGATTTGGGGAGGCATTCACCTATAGCAAGCAGGTGAGCCTCGTCAAATGGAGACTGTTACTGTAAACTAAATGTACAAATTACAACCATCTGCATTTGTTGGTGGGTTCTGTTATCATTGAATTCTTTTTGTTGTCTTGTATTGATAAATCATTTCAAAAGCAAGATTTTAATGATGAGCCAATATGAACCTTCCATTGTGATGTTATGCTGCCTTGACATGTGATAACCTGTCAACTGGTTAACCATATTGGTATACTTTCTCTTCTGCAGTTGCTGTTCTTTGGAAAATCTGTACAATGTAACTCCTTGCCTAAAACTTAATAATATAGGATTTGTATCTGGAGAAAAAAAGAGAAAAAAAGAAAATCCTAACTGTCCAAAATTCGAGGATATCCTCTCCCCTCCCATTGCTTCAATAAGGAAGAACATATAAATGAAAATAATGAACTCGTTTCTGTTCTTAACAAGTACTCTTCTTTTAAGAAGCCATAACATTGAGATATTTGAAGAGGATGAACTCAATTCAGTGCTTGTATTATTGTTAGGCTCTCTTGTGCAATTTTTGTCCTATGGAAATGTTGTGCTATTATGTTGAAATATTTTCCTTGCCTAAAACTTATATATAATTTGTATCTGGAGGAAAACAGAAAATAATCTGAACTTTCCGAATTCATTATCATTTCCCCCTCCCCCTTGACCCTTCCTGTATGTTTAAATCGTGAGGAAGATAGTATGACCAGAAATGGTTGTAATTCTCTTAGAGAAATACTCTTCTTTCAACAAGCCCTGAGGTAGATTTGTTTGAGGAGAATGAAGTCGATTCATTGCTTGTAGTCTCTCTCTTTAAAAAATATTTCATGAGTTTTATGCTGGTCCCTATGTACTTTTAGCATAGGGAGTATTGGCTCAGCATATGAGAGGTTAAAAGGGGGACAAAAAGGAAGGAATCTGGTATAGTGGGCTGTAAAGGGTTGTGGTATCTTTCGAGGTGTTGCTTGTTATAATGTGTGACTTTTCACCTTATTCCTGGTCACAGTCACTTAAAATACTTAGAAATAAAATCTTCGTGTTTTTCTTGTATGATTTTATGCCACCTTTGGTCTTATAATGTTAAGTGTGTTGGTGCATGTAAAATCTTACATTTCACCTGATCAATGATTAGTATGCTTTTTCATCCTATTATGCTCATCTTAGTACCACCTCACCCTTAAATAGGATTTTTTTATCTCTTTATTTTGTCTTTTCTTGTATTCTGCATATTTGTCTTTGTATTCTTATAGTTACTGCAGTCCATTTTCTGCATTATTTTATTGTTTAACTCTAAGATAGTATTTCAGTTGCATTTCATGTTCTGATCAACACTTTAATCTCATGAATATCAATCAATCTTGCTATCCTTGTTGATCATAAATCCAAGATGCTGAGACTTAAAATGCTTAGATTTTTTGTACTAACATTGTTCATATTATTTTTATTTTATTGCTAATGAATCTTTTTTTGGATGCTATCATCAATAGGATCTATCGGAATTGTAATTCACATGTTTTATATTGTTTAATCTAGAGTCCTTGGCTTTGTTATACTTTTACCTAGTTGCCAGTTGTGAATAACCTTCTTGTTTGTTTCATCTTACGAATAGCGTGTGCTCCTCAACAAGCCTGTCCTTTGCAATTTTCTTGAATATACCTATTTACTCATAATTGAAGCAAAAAGGTGACGACTCTTAAATGGATCTTGATATGAATAACGCTTAATTGGAATCTTTTAATAGTTCTCACTCTGGAGCTGTTCCTTGATTGATGTCCCTTATCAAAGATGTCCTCTTATCATATCAATAAGTATGAGATATTTCCTTTTTTGTGGTTACTAATCATTGTTTTGGAAGCTTGCATACTTTTTAGACTGCTAAAAGCCATATGAAGGCCTTTCTTCTTAGTATTATTCAAAATACATTGGCTACAAATCCTTGCTATCAACAGAATTAATTACTCTATTGATATAATATATTAGTTTATCCTTTACATTGGGGATAAAGTTGAGAGAAGCTAAATCTTTATTTTAGAGAATTTAAACTGAAATAAATTTAAATCTGAACAGATAGAGATATAGAGAGAAAAAGGAATCAGTTAACTTCATTATTTGTGAATCACAACAGAGAAATCTAGTGGCCTCTCTTTATTATGATCTGTGAGCCATTTAAGAGTAATTAATTCTTTATAATTGATATTTTTGTGGTGCAGCAAATTTTACTTGCAATCTCTTATAGTTTTTGTTTGATGAAAGATGTGTAAATTTTTCTGTAAGGACAGATGCTGGGCATGGCAGCATTCATGTATTTTAAATTAAAAAAAAAATTAATTTTAATTGTTGCCAAGACTTCTACTGCCAATAAGATACCAACACCGCTGGCAGCTACTCAGGGGGACATGCATACTACACAATATGGTGAAAAAACTATTAATAAACAAGTTATGTTTTGTGACCCTGTCAGCAATAGTGAGATGGATTATCCTGATGCCGACGGACAACAGATTGAAAGTGAACCTCCCTCCCATTGGGGTTCAGGAAACTCTCCTTATGCAACTACACTTGATGACCCCAGTTCCTCGTATCCTTCTTATCTACCACCAGTTCTTGAAGAGCCTTCATCTTCTTCTTCTGAGGGTAAGGTGTTATGGTGCGTTATTGGCTGTAAGCATCACTATTGACTCTTAAACTGTGTTTTACTTTGTGCAGCTGCAGAGGATGATCTGCTTCCAGCTATAGAAGGCCTCCAAATTTCAGGTGAAGCTTATCCAGGGAGGGAACTTCAGGCGTGTGGATATTCGATTAATGGAACTACCAGTTGTAATTTTGAGGTGCTTTTTCAGGATTTTTCTACACTATGTTTCAAACATTTAGGATTTTGGGTACAGTTATTTCATGAATGTATTTGAAGATGCCTTGTATTAGATGTCATATCTCTTGATTCCAAAGTGTGAATATATAATGCCGTAATGTGCTTGCAATGGCAGTGGGTGCGCCATATGGAAGATGGATCTGTTAATTATATTGATGGTAGTTTCTTGTCCTTAATCTTCTTTAGATTCTCTAACTTCTGTTTCCATGTAATCCCTGTTATTAATCAAATAAGTTTCTAAAGGAATTTTGAAAAACAGGAGCAAAGCAACCAAACTATCTTGTTACTGCTGATGACGTTGATACCTACCTTGCTATTGAAGTCCAGCCTCTAGATAACAGGAAACGTAAGGTATTGTCTTTACTCAATGCCATTTCCCATAATTGGCACCTTATGCTTTCATGTGTAGTTTGTTGTCCTTGGCTTTTCTTTATTTGCCTATGAATCTGGTAGAAGGCAAGTCTGAACATCATAAGACATCAATTTCAAGGTGAGTTTAGAATGTTGAAAGAAAAAAAAAGTTTTTGGCAATGATACCACTTACTGAAATATTTACCAGGGAAGACCTATTTAAGAATAGACAAACATGTTGATCTATGTAGACTTGGCAATTCGTGTTTCCGTGTCGTGTCTTGTGTTGTGTTTGATACGTGTAATAACACGAATTACTAAAACACAAGTATGATAAGAATTATAAAACGTGTTTAAATCCTAAACACGAACATGACACATTTATTATACGTGTTATATGCGACACAACGCGATTAACACGTGTATAATTAGTCTGTTTAAATATGATACGAATAGACACGACTAATGCGGATATACATGAATAGACACGATTAATACGAATATATACAAAAACATGGCTAAAATAATAAATACCTATAAACTATCCATCATTTACAACTTAATAAACTTGGTATATCAATAATAAAAAAAAAATTGATACCCATTTAATATGTAGTTAATATATATATTTAAATTTCAATATCTATTACATAACTATATTGGTTTTTAGTATCAAATTCAAAATGATGAACTACTAAAGATTAAAGAATAAAATAATGATGTATAGGATTAGTATTAATATTTATATTGAATTTATATTATTAGTATAAAAATAATTTTATAATAATTATTAAATGAGTATCATAATTAAATGTTTAAAATAATCTTTATATAGTATTAAATAGCTAATTAAGTATCATAATTAAAAGATTAAAAATTAAAATAATTTATATATGTTTATATTAAATTAAAATAAATATAAAAAATATGTTAAATTTATTAAACATGTTAAATGTGTACTTATATGACAAGATTAAATTAAACGTGTTTTTTCGTGTCGTGTCATGTTGAATGTGTATTCGTATAGCACGTTTTATCTAAAAGTATTTTTCACGTTTTACACATGTTTAGATATGTCAACACGTATAAGACACGAATTGTGTTGTGTCAAAATTTGTGTCGACATGAATAAACTCAAAATACGTTTTTTTAATACACGTATAGTTTTTTTAGTGTCGTTTTCGTGTCGTATCATTATGTCGTATTTGAAATTATCAGGTCTAGATTCATGTATTTGCTAGTTTGCATTCTGGTATCATATTTTCTGTATCTATGTTTTGCATGTGTGTCAGTCGTACCTTCATATTTGAAAATTGCTTATTCTGCATTCTTTTTTTCTTGGAATAGTGGGTATGTTTTCATGTAATTGTAATGACCAGTTGTGATAGAATCACGACTGCAATTGATATGGAAGCAAACAACAACAGAAAGAAAATAGTAAAAAAAACTTGTAAAGTGCTTGTACTATAACAACAACAATAAACTAAACCTTATATCCCATAATTCTAGGGTTGGCTGAATGAAAGGCCAAAAAAAGAATCATGTTAAGTCGTTGTTTGAATCTTCTTGCGCCACTCATTTCTATAAAAAACAACTTTTTTTATCTACTTTCTTAACCCTCGTATCATTTCTTATTAGTTGCATTCACGTCTTTTGTGGTCTATTTTTAGAAGTTTGGTCTCTCACAAATCCAAAAGTTCATTTCTCCTAATTGATGCACAGATAAACCTACGTTTCATATGTCTAAGCTATCTCAAACAGCTTTCTCTCATCTTTTCCTCAATTAGGACTACTCGTAATTTTCCTCGAATCTCTTGATTTTCGATTTTGTCTCTTTTAGTCCTACCACACATCTATCTAAGCATCTTTATCTCAGCTACGTTCATTTTTTTCTCATGTTGTTTCTTAACGGTCCAATACTCAATCTCATATGACAATACAGGTCTTATAGTTGTTTTATACAACTTTGCCTTTAATTTTAAAGGTATGTTACGATCATACAACACACTTTACACATTTCACCATCTAACTCATCTAGCTTGAATCTTGTGATTTACATCTCTTTCTCTCTCAGCATGCTTTGAATAATTGATCTCAAATATCGAAAATGACTACTCTTTGGTACTACCTCACCATCAAACTTAATCACACTAGCACTCGCTTCCTTATGACTATTAAACTTATATTCCTTATATTCAGTTTTAGATATATTTAATTTAAAGCCTAGAGACTCTAGTGTATGCCTCTATTATTCTAATTTCACATTAAAATTATCACTAATTTTATCAACTAAGACTATATCATCAGCAAATAACGTATGCCATGGCACTTTATCTTGGATATGTTCAGTGTGTTCATCTGTAACTAATGCAAAAGGAAATGGATTTAGTGTTGAGCCTTAATGCAATCTTGAGGTAATGAGAAAGCTATCAATCAAGACCCTAAACATCCTCACATTCGTTACAACTCCTCCATGTATATCTTTAATTATGTCAATGTACTTTAAAAGAACTCTTTTCTTCATTAAAGCCCACCAAAGCACCTATCAAGGAATTCTATCGTATGCTTTCTCCAAGTCAATAAACACCATATGTAGATCTTTCTTTCTCGCCAAAAAACCCTAAAAGAAGGCCTCAATAGGTGAATTGCCTTTGTTTTGGAGTGTCTTGGCATAAACCCAAATTGGATTTTGGAAATAGTGACATCATGTCGCAACCTACATTCAATTACTCTCTCACAAAGTTTGATAGCATGACAAATAAGCTTTATTGCTTTATAGTTCAAACAATTTTGTATATCACATTTATTCTCGTATAAAGACATTAGAGTACTCTTCCTCCATTCTTTTAGCCTTTTATGAGTACGCTAAATTTTGTTGAAAAGATCCATCAACCATCTTATTTCTATTTGACTCTAGTATTTTCAAACCTCAATCAGGATTCCATTTGGTCCTATAGCTTTCTTTGCTTTCATCTTTCTCAAAACCTTTTTAACCTCTTACCTTTTAACATTACATTTAAACACATGATATATATTCTTAAAAGGTATGTTAAGCTCACCCATATCTTGCTCAAAATTGCCATTAAATAGATTATCAAAATAATCTCTCCTTCACTTCTTAATCTCCTCATCCTTTACTAAAACTCTTTCGTCATTGCCTTTGATGCATCTTATGCCATTAAGATCCTTACTCCTCTTATCCCTCATCTTTGCAATTTTGAGCAATTATTTTTTCATCTTGTCTTTAGTTTTCTATATAATTCCTCATTGATCCTAGTCTTTGAATCTTGAATAACCTTTTTGATTTCTATTTTTAGTGTCTTATACTTCAGATAACTTGCCTTGTCCCCATTACTCCTAAAATTCCTATAACATTCCCACTTAGCTTTAATCGTCATCTTCACATCCTCATTCCACCACCAAGAATCTTTTCCTAGTGGTGCATGATCCCCAGAATCACCAAGTGTCTCTTTAGCAACCCCTTGAATTCTGGTAGAAATTTTCTCATATTACTTCCACATCCTCATCAAGCTTCCTATCAACTTCTTTTACCAGTCTATCTCTAAAATCTAACATTTTGTCCTTTTAAAGTTTCATTGCTTAATACGTGGTTCATGACTATAATGTATATCCTCTTTGACCCCTGAAGATGAAAGATATTTAGAACTAGCACTTTATATTGTGTTGTCACACTCACTCGGTATAACCTTGCAATCTTTAAAGCTACTTCTATCCTCTTTCCTTGTACAAAAGAAATCAATTTGATTAGCATTTGACACACTTCTAAAAGTTACCAAATGTGATTCTCTTTTCTTAAAACGCGTGTTTAATATAATGTATCTTTTTAATGTATTGATTCTTAATCTCCACCACTTAATATGTGGTTTATGATTCTGATGTATCCTCTGACCCCCGAAGATAAAAGATATCTAGAACTAGTAATCTATATTTTGATGTCAACACTCGCTCAGTATAACCTTACAATCTTTACAGCTACTTCTATCCTCTTTCCTTGTAAAAAAGAAATCAATTTGACTAGTGTTTGGCGCACTTCTAAAAGACGTGTTTAATATAGTTAGGTCAAATGCAGTAACAAACTCTAAAAGATTATCTCTAGTATCGTTTCTTTTTCCAAAGGCATATCCTCAATGCTCCTTTTCAAAGTCACTACAATCCTTGCTTATGTGACCAATCATGTCTCCTCCAATAAACAACTTTTCTCTATTTGGTATGGCTCACACTATCTCGTCTAATTCTTAAATTTTTGCTTACTTGTTTGATCCAAACTTATTTGTGGTGCGTAAGCACTAGTGACATTAACGGTTTGCTCTCCTAATATAAGTTTAACATGTAAATTCTATCTCCCGTTCTTTTAACTTCAACCACATCATCTTTCAAATTCTTATCTATAGTTATCCCTACTTTATTTCTACTACTATATTTACCTATGTACCAAAACTTGTAATCCCATGTTTCTATCTCTCTAGCCTTTTCCCCTGCCCACAAAGTTTCTTAGAGACACATCATATTAATTGCTCTCCTAGTCATAACTTTTCCTATCTCTACTAGCTTACCAATTAACAATCCTATATTCCAAGTAACTAAGCGTTACTTACCCCCACGGACTAGCTTCTTACTCGTGTTCATCTATTAAAGCACGAGAACCCTTACCTATTTGACACCACACTCGGGAGCTGATGTGGCGCGTTGCTACTGAGCAATGACCTTATGAACCCTGCTCATTTTAACATTACACCCGAGCTCCGATGTAGTGTGCTGTTGGGAGGTGATGACCTTTTGAAAATTCTTATTTTGTTCTCTCATCATGGTTTGGCTATGTTTTATGCTAGCCATCATCCTATAGCAACCTTCCTCGCTTGATTCAGGCTTGGGATTGGTAGTGTGGTAACATAGGCGGAGTTTTGTAAAGTGCTTGTACTATTTGAACAAAATCTGAATTAGTCCCTATCCATCTATCAGTTGAATTGAGCCTTAGTGTT